CTACGGCGGCCTCTCGAACTTTGGCAACCCGATGGCCATGATGCCCTACGGTGGCCCTCCCAATTACGGCAACTTGGCACCTGGCACCATCATGCCTTTCATGACTCAGAGCAGCATGCCATCTTCACTGCCCGAGCCTCAGCCGGCGCGCGCGCCCGAAGCTGCCGCTGCGGCTCCTGCCGCTACCTCCTCAACCAACCACCCTCCCCCGGACACTCGGCACCCTCCCCACTCTCGCAGATCCCGTTCCCGCCACAGGCAGCACCGACACTCCCACTCCCACACCAGCCACCATCGCAGGCACAACAAGTCGCACCGACGACACGACACCCGACGATCCCGCAGCTACAGCAGGTCACGTTCCCTTTCCCGACACTCCCACCACTCCCGACGTGCACACCACTCCACTGTCTCCCTCCGCTCCCGCTCCCCCCGACACAGGTCCCACCATCGACACTCCCCTGCACCCAGTGCCACGACTTCGCACCGACCCACTCACACTACTCATGATTCCACCTCCTGGCGCACTTCCGGGAAGGACTCCTGGCGCACTTCCGGGAAGGATCCCAACAAGTCTCAATGGTCCTCCTCACACTGGCGGAACCAATCGTGGGGATACCCACCACAGAACAAAAACCGCTGGGACATGCACCACCACGGCGCCAGCCACACCGGCCACCGAAACAACCAGGACAAACGATCGTCCTGGTCACTGCAGCACCATGGGCAGCAACCCCACCCCACTTCCCGCACCGGCCACCACAACACCAGCTTGCCCCCTCGCCCAGCACCTGCGGCGGCCTTCACTTCCACTCCCCCTCCCCCTCCCCCTCCCCGACCCACGCCGGCTACTCCTCACCCTCCCCAACCCCCCTCCGACAACACCGGTGATTTGGATCCCCCTCCATCGGAGGCGGACATCAACGCCACCACCACTTCCGACAACCGGTGGCTTGATCTATGGAGAAACGTCATGGACACGGCCAAGACTGACCCGCTGCGAGTTCCCACGCCTAGGGAGTTGGGGGAGCTGGACCCGCTTCCAGCCTTGGACATCTCCAGGATGGAACAGACTAAGGCCATTTTGATGGACCTGGACCCTGCCTTGCCACCTTCACATGCCGATCTCCTCGCGGAATGCTGGGAACTGCGAACCATGGACACGGATGATCCCATACCGTTCGATCCCAGCTTCTACCACCTCTTGGGACGGGAATCACACGGCATGGTGTTCGCAACCACTTGGTTTCCCCGACCTCACCCTTGGCCAGTTGCTGGCGGAGACCCGGAAGCTGGATCCGGCACGGCCTCCCATCACGCTGTCATGTATGTGCACGGCACCACCCCGGATCGAGCGCGCCGCATGTGCCATGAGAACATGATCCGACCCGCTGCTTGGAGGCCCGAGAACCATGACTACCCGAGCTTTGGATGCTACGCTCAGGCCACCCCCACGGCATGCACGCCCGACACGCTCGGCCAGCTCTTGCAGAACTTTACAATCGGAAAGTCTCAACTCGGCGCCATCGCTTTTGGGGAACTACGCTCCATCAATCAGCACAAAATCCTCGAATCCGGGGGAAGCCACGAGGATCAACACAACGTGCGGCGCCACTTCGCATGCCGCCGAGGCAAAAAGTGGTGCCTTCACTCCAAGTTTGCGATGCTGAGAGGCATCGCGCTGCAGCGCCCGGCTTAGCGGGGCGCAAGTGTACCATCTTCCACCCAACCAGGAAAAGAATTGGTGCACTGTTTGATCGCCTTTTTTCTTTGCTTTGCTGTTCTGCCTTTCTGCGACCGTTTTCTCGCCTTGTGACCTTACCCGCTTGATTCCGCTCACCAGCTTTTTGGTTCGAACTTTTCCTTTTCCCCCGTGTTTTTCGCATGGCTTTCCAACCCCCTCGAGGTTTGGTTCCGATGCTCCAAAGGCAAAACTTACCACCGCAGCCTTCGCCCACGGCATCCCATCATCACGGCATCATGTACGGCAACAACATGGCCGGAAACCCGTGCGGGGCCCTGTCCGGACCTTCCTACGGATGCTCTTCCACGACATGGACACCGCCAACTACACATCCGACTCCCTGTCAGACCTACGGCCAACCTAGTCCCCATTTCCCACCACACCCCGGCCCTCGTCCTCCCTCCTTTGGCGGCTCTCTCCCCCCCCCTCCCGGCGGCAACCCCTTTCCCCCCCCTCCCCCCGGCAACTTCACCCGCCCTCCACCTTCCCCCTCCCCCTC